CCCCCCCCCCCCCCCCCCCCGACCCCCTCCCTTCTTGATATCAAGAGAGCGTTCGTCGAATTTGATTTGCTTTCTTTCTTTCGCGTGGTTACTGCTGTGCTCTCTAGATTCTCCAGATTTTATTATTTCTCCGGCTTCATTTTCTGCCTTTTTTCAACCGAGCACGCAGCTCGATCGTCCCATCTTGTATACAGATAAGATACTATGCATCTATCTACGTAAATACATATATGTGTCAACAAAAGAATAAGTCTCCAGTACCAGGATTGGAAGACCGTGAGACCGTGCATTGTAGCCACTTTCACTCCGGTTACTAGTACCCTTGGGAGGATACCAGGAATCCATTGGCAAAGGGACAGGGTTACTGACTTGCTGTAGATTTCGTTCCTGTAAAGAAGGGGGAATGGAGAAGAATGAAAGATATGCAAGATTATTGCCATATTGACATGGACAGGGTCGGGCGTCTTCCACTCCCACGCGCTCACACACAAACTCACACACACATAACTAGATATATGCATACATATTCGCCAAAGCCTCTTCTCACATCTCACAGTTGCAGATAGTCCACAGCATTTCTTCCCCCCCACCTCCCCCCCTTCCCCCCTTTCCCTCAACATCCCACCTCATCCCATCCTGTTCTATCAACTCCATCCCACCATCCCATACGGCCACACAACGAAAACACCCCATCCAGATCCATTGGCCCGTCTATGGGGAAACTCCAGTACTTCATCACTAGTCCCAATCCAATAGCAAACTCATACCTCATAATATGGCGCATATAGATATATATATACGTGCATGAATGAATGCAAGGCAGCCGGGACGTCCGTCGACGGAGCACCTGGACAAAACACCACCTAATCCTGAAAATACCCGCTGCCACCAATCCATCCCACCATCGTCGTGGTATCCGCTGTTCATCTGACATCGGCATCGGTATTGCACGGCGGGTGCAAAACCCAACCCACGCAGCCCCACCCAAGGAAGCGCCGATGAGAGGAGCTGGAAATCCAGATCAGTCAGGCGTGAAAATGTCCAGCTTAGACCTGGCCATTGGTGGCACGGCAGAGGGGGGAAAGGGTATCCTGAAGCTCGTCCGTCGGAAGGGAGAAAAAAAAAAAGCTGTTCCTCAGACAAAATATTGAGTATTAGCGTGGGAGGAGTTACGCCCTGGCTTGAAAACAGAAATACCATGCGCGTGTGGTGAAGAAGGCAAAAACGTACAATTGATTGTTAAGAAAGTAAGCCGGGGACGGGGCGGTGTCGGGCAGCGGTATTCATTCTCCTTCCCTTCCCCCCCCCCCTGCCCCGGCGCCCTCTCCCTCTCCCTCTCCCTCTCCCCTACTTGTTCAACCGTCTTTTCTTCAAGCTCGCCATCGACGGGAGAAAAAGAACAAGAAGAGGAAGAGGGCAAGAACGAATCTCAAAGCATATGCAAAAGCCCCCGCACGATCACCAATCTTGCAAGGGGGGACTCCCCGGCTGGACGCAGTCGTCGAGTTGCTATATATATGTATATATGTGTGTGTGGTTAGAAACATGTTTTTATTCCCTTTCTGCAGAGACGTCTCATCTCGTCTATCTCCCGAGTTGACAAAAAGTGAATGGATATATATATATATATATATTTCGTTCGGTGGGAAACTTACACCACGCGGACAGCACAACGGCGCTTCTACAGTCTGGAGGCACCCTCCGATAGGGGTTCGGCCTGTTGAGTTGATACACAGAGTTAGACAGGGGCCGTTTCGCGGAGACGATAAATAAATGTAATAAACGGATAGCGGGGAGTGGGTGCTATCGCGGCAGTCGCGTCTTTTCTTTTCTTTTCTTTTCTTTTTTCTTTTTTTCTTTTTTGTTATTTCCTTCTCTGGAAAGGGATCTACTCACATCTATACCCCCAAAAGCCATTCTTGGGCGACATCTGGGGAAAGGAGTTTCGGCAGCAGAGGAGTTCGTAGTACGTGGAACACTGATTTCGGTGCGGGAGTGGTGTGGTGGCCGATATGGAGACAAAGACGGAGAGGAGGAAGAGGAGGAAGAGAAGGGGAGAGAGGGAGGGGACAGCGTGAGACAAGAGAGGGGAGAACATGGTTTGGGTGAATTGGGAGAGGACGGGAATGGGGTGGATTGAAGAAGCTTTGTTATATTGATTTATTGTATGTCCGCGGGGCGCTGGGTTGGTTTTATTTTGAGTCTATGTTGCAGTTGACTATGTTTATTGTTTTATTTTTTCTTTTTCTTCCTCCGTTTTTCATTTTTCTTATTCTTATGCTTTTCTTTTTTTTTCTTTTCTTTTCTTTTGCTGATCATACAGCCCCATCCGCATTCCAAGTCAGACTTGGTTGCACTCAACCAACCACATCAACCTCCCTGCTTGCATGGACAACGCTCATCCAAGCAGGTAAAGTATATGACCAAACCGAAAAGCCGGCTCGCTCAAGCGAAAGAGAAGAGTCTAGATTGGGGCCCCACGATCGACTCATTTTTCACCCCATGCCATGCGTGCTTCCTGCGTGTTGTTGTTTCGCCTTCCCCGGGCCCCCTGAATTGAGCCCGGCAAGGTTTCAGGCCTTGCTTGCACGTAGGTTAAGTATGCTAAGCTTTGTGGATTACGTATAGCCTTGCCTAGTGTCTTCGGGGTGGATGATCTTTGTTGGAACATGTCAACACCAGGGCCGGCGGGAGATGGTGACTCCCTCTATCAGCCTGCCGCCCGCCAAAAAGTTACGGCTTGGTTGATTGGCGCATGTCCTGTGCTGTTTGCTGTAGCCTGCGTGGTGAATGGTGAACGTGTGTCGCTATACTACCTATCCTCTGTCTTCTGCTTTCCCCCGACCCCCCACCCCAGGATCCGGCGCGGGTTTTCAGCTCACTCATTTTCATTTTCCGGCCGAGCTGGATTCGTGGTACGTCGCTCATTTTCCGTGGTCAGATTAAGGTATCTCGGTCAGACGCTACGGATTACTCTTGCGTAATTGGCGCCAGCGTCGGTGATCTGGGTCTGGTTTGTCAGGCTGCAAGCGGCGTACCACCAATCGCATTATTATTGTCGGTGAGCCAGAAGAGTGAGCGGGCTAGGAGTGCAGGGTTCGGGGCGTGACGAAGCTTTTCGTGTAGCCGCAGAGATAGCTCCAAATGGTAATCTGTAGTTTTAGATAGTGTCCGCGAGGCGAGTGATTCCACACTGCGTAAAGTTCAGGAACTATTGTGAGGTGACATTTTCTTCAGCGGACAACCCCTTGTATTGTCTTGCGAATGGAGGTACGACTGCGTAGCAAGCATCAACAGGAGGGGGTTGGGCGGGGGGGAGGGGGAGAGGAATGAGAGACAGCAGAAATTAAGGACGCCGCATCAAACTCTCAATTTGGCGGCAAATGTAGTCTTTGTTTCCGGTTGCGTCTCCCGGTTGAGTTCCCGTTCCTCCAACTGGTAGTTGACATTCCGAAACGACCCCAGCGGCTGAAAAAGGCCGATCTTGGAACCACGGCCTGCAGTTCTCGAAAGAAATCGCTGCGCAATATGTCTCCGCGATTCTGTTTCGGTGATGGTACGCCGTCAGAAACCGCAATCTGGGAGGAATGCGTAAGTACCAAGCGTGCTGAGGTATCAGAGCATCTTCAACTGGTTCTACAATCTGTAGATCCACAATTGACAATCAACTCAAGAGCCCATACTGACAAAAAAAAAAAAAAAAAAAAAAAAACCCACACTGTCACCAGTCATCTCACTCTCACCATGTCAGGGGTTCATCGGAGTGAAAAAGTGAGACATGGAACAGCCACCAGCCATGACCCCCAGCGACACAGTATCATCCTATCCCCGCGCATCCGAGGTCTAGCGGGAAGCCGACCGTGCCTGCAGCGAACACGCGCTCTGATCAGACACATCACCACATTGCCATTGTCGGCGCTGCAGGATGGAATTGGGCGTTGTCCGGGAGAGACTAGTATAAACGTTACAGAACATTCCCATTCCTCGCACCTCTGGCTCTAGCTCTAGCTTTAGATCGCTTTGGGCTTGGGCTTCCCCTTCCAAGCTGCGCGCCTGTTCGACTCGCCGCCGCACGTCGACAATACGCAAGTAATAACTAACCAACTAACTAAAGGATGCGCAGGTAGGTGGGTTGGTTGGTCCACAAGCCTGCCGGCCAGCCAGCCAGCCAGCCGGGTCCCCCTCCCCTGTTCGCGCAACAGCAAAAGCCCTTAGTTCTGGAAGCCGAAATGCCAACCCTAACAGCGCGTCCCTGGGGTTGTAGATACTAGCACTAGCTCGACAAATGTACTGACTGTACATACATGTACTCTCTGGGACGTTGGCGGCTCCAGGCGAAAGTCGTCGAAAGGGCGGGGATATCAGTTAACCACCAGTTATAGTATGCATACATAGTACTACGTACTACATACGACGAACGAACGTCGCGAAGAAGAGAATACTTAGAAGATCTGAATGGGTTACTGTCAGAGTGTACTGTCAGACGGGGCCCCCCTAAATATCACTACAGTAAATTAAACATCTCAAGATGGGGGAGTTTGTTTCCCCCGCGCCTTGATTCAGGATGGATTGACTGCTCCTTTCGGTGCTGTGGGTTGGAAACAACAAAAAAAAATAAATAAACTATAGTATGATGGAAATATAGACGACGCTTGCGCGATTAAAGCTTACATTATGCAGCACGCCTCACGAATCACCAACTAAGAACTAGATTAAATAACTCCTGGGAAGGGAAGCGCCGCCACGTAACTTCTTTTAGATACGTCAGCTATTTATTGATTTCATATTTCATGCGCTTACTGTGTATAATCAATCGTATGGAACATGTGATATATGTTTATGTTTTTGTATAGAGGGGACAAGGGGGAGATGACAACTAGAGCCATGAAAAGGGAAAAAAGAACGGATAAAAAAAGAACCGAGGGCATCAAAACAGGCGGGGGAAAATTGACTGAAAATTTAAAAGGAATCGGCAAAGGAAGAAATAGATTAGATGGAATAACTTTGGAAATCGTAAAACATGGCACAGGAGGTTAAGGAAATAAAAATAAAAATAAAAGAATAAAATGAGGAAAATTGAAAAGGTTAGATTTGGAATACAGGTTGGGGGTAGGAGGGTTTGCTTTGTTTTGACATTTCCCCCTCAATCCCCATGTTTCATTGAACGAATAACATTTTTTTCTAGCTTCGTTCTCCTAGCTTCGTTCTCCGTTCTCCGCTTTCCGTCACAACTACACGGAGCAACGAGGCGTTGGTGTATATATTTGCCCTTTCGTTTACCCTTAAAAAAGGCGTTTTAAAAAGGAAGGGTAACCAAGGAAGGGATTTCAGCGCTTATCATCGCAATGAAAAAAGAAAAGACAAGAGAAGAAAACAGATTTTCACGAAATGTATTCTTATTTTCTTTTTTTTTCCCCTTTCTTTCATTTCTTTTTTTTTTTTACATTTGTCTCTTTTTTCCCTTTTCACTCTTTCCCTCTTGTGGCTTTTGCTTTGGCTTGGGATGGCCGTTCCGAGCGGAACACCTTCCGCAGCCTCTGCTTAAACACCGCCCGCCTCGATGCTCCTGGCGCTAGTCAAGCCGAAGCCCCGTTCGTCGAGGGCTTGGTGCCATTTACCCCAGCAGCAGCAGCAGCACCGCTACCAGACACGACAGGTGCAGCCGCAAGGACCTCCTTGGTAGCCTCATCGGAATACTTCTTGAAGTTCTCATTGAACAGCACGGCGAGTTTGTTGACCTCGTTCTCGAAGGGGGTGGAGGCGGTCCAGCTTGTCTTCGGGTTGAGGAGCTCGCTGGGCACGCCCGGGCAGGACTTGGGGACGAAGAGGTTGAAGACATCGTAGACTTCGTACTCTGCTTTGGCGAGCTCGCCGCTGTGGATGGCGTCGAGGATGGCACGGGTGTATTTGAGCGGGCAGCGTTTGCCGCCCGTGGTGGCACCGGCGCCGACCCAACCAGTGTTGAGCAGCCAGGCGTTGGCTTTGTGTTGGGAGATTTTATCGGCAAGCATGCGGGCGTAGCGCATGGGGTGGAGTGCGAGGAAGGGTTGGGCGAAACAGGAGGAAAACGTGGCCTGGGGCTCAGTGACGCCGTCCTCGGTGCCGGCCATCTTGGAAGTGTAACCGGAGATAAAGTGGAACATGGTTTGTTCGGTGGTGAGTTTGGAGATGGGTGGGAGGACGCCGCGGGCGTCACATGTGAGGAGGATGATGTTCTTGGGGTGGGCTTCAGCGATGCAGGGGATTTTGGCATTATCAATGTATTCGATTGGGTAGGCGCTGCAACAATTTATTAGCTCTAAGGCGGAGGAAATATATATATTGGAAGAAGAAAACTAAATTGGGACATACCATCGGGTGTTCTCGGTGAGAGTTGAATCGTCATAGTCAACGACTCTGGTAGTGGGATCGAAGACGACGTTCTCCAATACGGCTCCGAAGCGGATTGCATTGAAAATATCAGGCTCCTTCTCTGCGGACAAACCGATGCACTTGGCGTAGCACTGTCACGCAAAAAGAAAACAAGTTAGCCACCAAAAAAAAAAAAAAAAAAAAAAAAAAAAAAAAGAAGGCCATGTATATATATAATCGGGGTGAGGCAACATACCCCTCCTTCAATGTTGAAGACACCACGGTCAGTCCAGCAGTGCTCGTCATCTCCAATCAATGCTCGCTTAGGATCGGCCGACAGGGTCGTTTTGCCAGTGCCAGAAAGGCCGAAGAAAACAGTGACATCGCCGTCCGGGCCCTGGTTGGCGGACGAGTGCAAGGTGAGCACATTGTGCTTGACGGGCATTTCGTAGAACAGCACGGTGAAGACGCCCTTCTTCATCTCGCCAGCATACTCAGTGCCGAGGATGACCATCTCCTTTTCGGCAAAGTTGATGGCGATAGACGTGGCGGAGGTCATTCCCTCAGTCCATCTGTTGGCGGGGAAGGAGCCAGCATTGTAGATGACATAGTCCGGATGGAAGGACTTAAGCTCCTCGCTCGAGGGCCGGATGAGCATGTTGCGCATGAAGAGGGCATGGTAGGCACGGGCGCAGACGACCCTGACGCTGATTCTGTAGCGCTCGTCCCAGCCGGCAAAGCCATCGATGACATAGATGCGGTTTCTGGTGTTGAGATAGTCGACAGCGCGTTCTCTGTTGATTCTCCAGACCTGAATCGAAACGATTGCAATTGGTTAGCTCATGTGAATGCAAATTGGCCAATCGGAAGAGTGAGATTAGTCAGTTGACGTCATGCTGACACGTGACCACTTCCCCGGATCGACAAGGAAAAAGGAAAAACGAAAAACGAAAAAGGAAGCGGCGCAGAAGTCCCAAGTGCGGGGAAGGAGCTAGCCAAGAGAGCAGCGGCTTGGAAAGGGCATTACATAACAAACAGCATCAAGTGGAGAAACTGGGCAAGGGTATGATGCAAGGCCCGAGGGTTTGTTTTTATTCTTGGTAGAATGAAGGGTGGCTACAACAAAGAATGAAGAAAGATAGAAAAACAAAAGTAGAGAGAGAGAGAGAGAGAGAGAGAGAGAGAGAGAGAGAGAAAGATGGCTTACCTCAGGCGACATGGGCTTGTTTACAGGCCCCCACCAGACTTCATTCTCGGACGAGGGCTCCTTTACAATTCGCTTGTCGAGCGGCGATCTGCCAGTCTTTGCACCCGAGTAGGCAGTCAGGGCACCGGTAGAGGTGATGGCGGTGCCTGTTTCGTAGACCAACGCATCTTCGTAGAGGGAGGGGACAGCTGGATTGGCGATCTATATGTCATTGCCCGTTGTTAATGAGGGGGAAGAGATAAGTATAGATATAGATGGATAATATATGGAAGAAGCAGCAGCCCTTACAATTGATACCCGCTCGTAGTCGATGTGGGCAGTTTCATGGAGTTCTTCCTCGAGTTCTGTGTGTCCCACGCCAGGCCTTTGCATGGAGAACAGGTCGGTTAGTTTTCTGCATCACATTGGGTATATATGTATATATATATAGATAGATAGATATAGAGATAGTATTTTTTATTATAACCAAATCAAGTTCACCGGGAAGAACAGAGGAGAACACATACTGGACACCCGAGGGATGCAGCGAGGTGCGGTTTACCGAAGCGGCAACCATGTCTTTGAGCGAGGTGGACAGCGAGGAGGAGTGGTAGTTGGAATGCTGTTGCTTAGCCTGCAGCTGTCTGGCAAAGTCGGAGAAGTCGGAGAAGGCGGCGAGGGTGGGCGGGACTGGGTTGGAGGAGGAGGAGCAGCGAGGGGGATTCGGGGGTATATGAATGGCAGCACGAGTAGCAGCAGCAGCAGCCGCAGCCGCAGCCGGGCCCAGGGGAGACGAGCCTGCACCCGAAGCAGAACCGGAAGCCATGTGGAACGGCGAAGAACGGGAGACCAAACGCAAATCGGCGAAAATGGCAGATGGTAAATGGGTAGATTGGTGGTAATATTGAGTGGTTCCTGTGAGTTTGGCCCCGTGGGTCTGGGGGGGTTGGACGAGGGTTGGGGTTTCAACGGGGGTGGTAACGGGTAATGGTAATAAGTATGATTGGCAGGTATGATATAATATAATACCTAGAGCGATTGAGGTCAGCAGCCGGGCGATTATTGGGCAAGGAGCGCAGCAAAGTCGTCGAGCATGGAGCTGGGCTTCGCTGGGGGCTTCGCTGGGGGCTTCGCTGGGGGCTTCGCTGGGCCACGGCGGGCCTCACACCATAAATACTCCGTACGCGGGTTTCAGGTTTGTTACTTCGATCTTCCGCCATTCCCCACCCAGCACGGGAGATCCCGGGTCGTCGAGGACAGGGCTGCCACTTTGGCTCCGGGCCAGGCCTGCAAGGCGCTCGACAAGGCCAATGACCCGTGGGGGGCCCCGAGGGTGGCCCCGGGTTCTCCCGATGGGCCTTTGCCTCCTGCGCAGGTATGACGCTTTGCTGCTGAACTCTGCTGAGTCAGGGCGTGGATGGAGCAGGTGGATCCACGGCGCGAGCGAAGAGGATCTTCCACGGTTTGTCGCTGGGAAACTCGGGTGGTGTGCGAGTCACTTTTCGCCTCCAGGGCTCTACGCTGGTATATGATTGCAGACAAGAGACATGAGAGGCAGTTCTGACCACAGGGTTGGCCCACGGTAGATTCAAAGTTGCCCTTCCCTGTATCTACGCAGGAGCTGTGATGATTGCAGATTGCTCTCTCATTCCGTAACACTGTCGGGTCTGGGCTGCAGCTTGAAGCCGCGTCTAAGCACCAGCACGCCGCCAGAGTACCACCAGCCAACCCCGATATGCACCATTCATTGATCATTGTGTCTTCTCTCATTGATCGATATTATATACCTTTCCTTCCACACATATCTATCTATATTCTTTAGATATATATTGGTATACAATATATACACTCTTTCCCTCTCTCTTCCACCCCCCTTGTTTCCTCTTCTTGCTTCTTCCATGCGGTAAATACTAGTCCTTCCTATCTGCCAGGCACGACGTCCCCCGCTCTCACGGCAATCCGCGGCCCACTTCTGATTCGTTCCTTGCTTGCTTTTTTTGTATTGTTTTGTACTTTTATTTTATTTTATTTTTTGCTTTTTTGAGTTCAAGGTTTAGCGCCACAGCCTTGTTTAGGGGCCTGGCCGGAGCCTAAGACAGGGATTTCCACGATATTCGCCACGGCGACGAAAACAACTTGTTCCTATTCATTCCTTATGATGTCAGAAGTAGTATAATTTTCCTTTGCTCTCAATTAGACAGCAAGTGATGGGAGATGGGAGATTTCTCTCATTCTCTGGCGGAGTCTACTCTGATATATTCATTCTCTATGTCAACCCTTGCTCTTACATCCCTGCGTTATCCTGCGTAAGATGAATGTTCTTTCCATCGACATCATTTCTCTCTCTCGATTCTTTTCCCTTGGTTCCTTTTTCGTTCCTTTTCGTCTTCCCCTTCCTCGATTCCCCGGCTTTCCACGACTCGTAGCCCCTGGACGACCAAACCTGGTCAAACCCTCCACTCTATCCACTCCATCCCCGCTTCAGCCCCGCCAAGCAACCTCCCGAGCCGTTGGTTCCCGCATTTCCTACCCAGGGTGATGGGTATTGTATTGTATTTTTTATTATTTTCTTTTTCATGTTGTTCGTTTTTGTTTTTGAACTATCCAGATCTTACCATTGAATTGATTCCCATTCGTCGTTGGGTTTTCGGATCGTGCTCTGGGAGAAATTGCCTGAACGGGGGGGTTTTATTTGCCTGCGGGATGATTGGTTACCACTGGCAACTGCACCTCCTCAGTTATAGGTTGTTGCTGGAGTAGATTTATAGTTGCTTCTGATATGGAGGTGTAGAGACATAGATAATCTAGTATAACTAATTTAATTGTATAGTCTGTAGGATCAAAAGTAGTCCTTTAACTTCCTCAGCCTTCCCCCATGTAGCTGATATCCACACCGTGGACGCCTCAGCGACATAGACAACAAATTGACGGCTTGCTAAGCACGCCTTGGACAAACAAATCAAACGTGGCCCATCAACGCTGTTTTGATGGCTGTATCATGACTGTTTGCCGTATCGACGATGTGTATGTACCCCCAACTTTTTGATGCCGCCGCCTCTGACGCAATATCTTCATTCGCGGCGTGAAGGTGTTGGGTGAAGAAGTTCCACTTTCGAATGCATTGTTGTTTGGCACTAGCGGATTGCAAAAGCTTCTTCTCTAAGATGAATGAGGGTGATTTTTTTCAATTTCCTTCTTAATTTCATTTCATTTTTTGTGTCACATGCTCCAGCGCCATGGCTTGCTTCCAAGGTTGCTGCAAATCAAAACCCGCGAACAAAACAAAGATATGTCGCATGATTCTCATGAACGCTGCTGGCTGCTAGCTACGCATTTCGATATCTTCGCCAACTTTGCAGGGTGTGTGATGTAGTGCGGGAAGGTTGTTGTTCAGCGCTCCGATGATGATTTAAAGTTACCCTGCACTGCCTTCTTCTTCACATCTTGCTTCTATTATGGAGGCACAGTGCAATCCCGTAGCCGGCGCCTGTTTCTCTAATCAAGAGAGGAGAGGAGTTTGTTGCTCCACGGAGGCTGAGACGTATGATATGGATCAACTTCGCCGCGGTGAGGCTATTCACCCACTCCCCTGTAACATTGTGAAGCTGTTGTTGTTTGCCTGTATTCAATGCTGCTGGATCTGCTATTCCCTGAGTATTTCGGCAGTCGCAACTTGTTTAAAAGGAAGCAAAAGTAGCCACGCTTGTAAGCGATCGAAGGAGCTCGAAAAGGCAGCTTTCTCACCAGTATCGAAGCTTCTCGTGGAATATGTACCAAGGTATACAGAGAGCAATTTTCCAACTTCCCGAATATTTTCTATATACCCGGTGCACATCTACCACCAGCAATTTGGAAATCATCGCTAATCACACATCGTCCTTTTCGAGTCCAAGGCGGGGGACCTGAGAAGTGGCAGGGCAAAATGCGCTGCTTGAACAGGATATACACCTTGCCAAAACACCGCTGAGAGAGCTAAGATTAGCAGACCGTCCCCCATGTATTTTCCTGACCAAAAGGATCAGGGCCATCAGGGGCTATCAGAGAGTCATTTGTAGGACCAGAGGTAAAGCATGATTGAGAACATAGTGTTAAACCTCACGTAAACAGCAACATCAACAAAAGAAACACAGCACAGACGTTACGACAAGTTGAACCCAAAATATAATCCTTTGATTTCGTATCTCAAATGGATAAATTGAGATTTGCGAATGTTGGATGTTCAAGGAATTTGGGGAAGCGAAAGTAGAAAGGTCGCGCTAGGCCTATTTTAGCCCAGCCGGAATATCTGAAGCTCCAGCTCATCTTGTGAACTCTCAACCACAGCTTGACATTCACAGACTTACGCTCCCTCTCTCTCTCTCTCTCTCTCTCCCTCTATATATATTTGCCGCTCCCATACACTCCTTTGCCTTCTCCTCACCTCCCCACTCTCCCTCATCTCCTTTACCCTCTCGCTTGCCCGCAGTCATGAGTTCCGATCCACAATATGCCAAATACCCCAACCTCTCCCTTGCCCAAGACATCTTCAACCTCTCCAATCCAGCATGTCCCCAAACATCCCAACAGGCCTCGCTGAAGAAGCTGCAGTCTGCCATTCTGCACCATCACATGGCCCCACTATACCGGCATTTGGCCCATCCGGTCGACGGCATCTTGAACAGCACGGGCGAGGGCACTACCTCTTCCCAACCCGCAGCCGCCGCAAGCAGTAAAGGCGGCGTCGTCGCGTCGAATCTTCTGTCAGGCAGGAAAGTATCGCAGAAGATGATCCTGCCGTGGGATGAGAAACTCTATGATTCGCTGGTAGAGGAGAATAAGAAAGAGCTTGATGCTTTGCAGAAGGAGGAAGATGATGCCGCGGAAGCGGCGGGTGATACTGAAGTCCAGGCTGCTCGGGCGAAGCGAGCGGAATTCTGGGCTCGGGTTGGAGATAGGGTGAGATCTTATTTATTATCATTTTTATTTTCTCCGTTTTCTCCGTTTTCTCCTCCTCCTTCTTCTTCTGGCCCCTTGTCATCTGTCGTTTTTCATTTTCTCTAACTGTAATCTGCACCCGTTTAGGACAATGCAGTTGCTGCTTACGAAGCAGTTCTTGAAAAGACCGGTATTTTGGGCACGAAGATTGACTTGATTCTGGCAATCATCCGGATCGGGCTGTTCTTTGGGGATAAGGTGTTTGTCAAAAAGCAGATTGAGAGAGCAGGCGCATTGGTCGAGAGTGGCGGGGACTGGGACCGAAGAAATCGTCTAAAGGCCTACAAGGGACTCCACCTCCTCACCATCCGCTCATATAACCTGGCCGCGACGCTTCTCCTCGACAGCTTGTCTACGTTCACCAGCTACGAATTATGCAGTTACTCGTCTCTTGTTGTCTACTCCGTCTTGGCGGGCTCCCTTGCCTTGAAGCGCGTGGATTTTAAAGCAAAAGTCGTCGATGCGCCTGAAATCAAGGCTATCCTCGGAGAAGGAGAAGACAAGATACCCGCCTTAAGTCGCTCAGGTTCCTCAGGGCCCGGTGCTGGAGATGAAGAGATGAAAGATGCCACGGCAACCACAACTCCAGGGGTCGCGTCGACGGTTGTAAATCTTACCACCCTCGGCGCTGAAGGTGGATTTGTGCCAGAGGAAGAGATCCCAATGGACTTCTCCCCACTCTCCAACCTTGTCAGCAGCTTGTACAATGGCATTTACCGCTCGTTCTTCCTGGCGCTAGCGGCCGTTGAGGACAATTTCCTGAGTAAAGACCGCTACCTCCATGAACACCGGGCGTGGTTTGTGCGCGAGATGCGGCTACGCGGATACCAGCAACTGCTGCAAAGTTATCGTGTTGTCGGTCTGAGTAGCATGGCGAACGATTTTGGCGTCACCGTTGATTTCCTTGATAAGTATGTATCATCGTCATCCCCGTTCACTGCTCATTGTACTATGACACGAGAAACTTGTCTCTACCTATCTTTCTCTCTCCTCTCTCTCCCTCTCTCTGTGTATGTATGTGTATATACGTGTGTGACTAACCAACGTTCGCTGCACCCAGGGATCTTGCCAAATTCATCGCCGGCGACAGAATAGCATGCACGATTGACCGTGTCAACGGCATCATTGAGACGAACCGGCCCGACGACAAGAATAAGCAGTATGCAGATGTAGTGAAGCAAGGAGATGCGTTGATCACGAAGCTACAGAAATACGGGCAAGCAGTGAGAATGCGGGGGAGCGAGCGGGGTTGATAGGCCAAGGCTGAAGCGATAACTCATGGGTTTGGGTGTGTGATAAATTGAGGGTTGGCCAAAGAATACCGTAGACTGATGGATGAGATAGATGATTTTAGTTCCAACTTATTAAACACACTCATATCACGTAATGTTCTCTTGCCTTGCCGCTGCGGTTTCCGTTTTCTGAATGAGAATAAGCGTACTTGGGTGGCGGTTTAACGTTTGTGGTAGGTTGCTCTGATGTGCTCACAGAAGATAGATGGTAAAGCACATGTGTACTGTGCAAACCTCCTGTTGTCCCGTCTTCTTTCTGTTTGACCGCCGCAGTCCATGGTGGTGTGAGCTACACATTTAGGCTATAGACCACCCAGAATCCGTGTTTTCCAACACCAGTGAGGACGGGATGCTACGTTACCGATGAGCGATGAGCTTGTCTAAAAATACTAGTATGTATCTAGAAATGTTGGGATGATTGGCGCACTTTGTTCACCGCCTACCGGATAGTGTTTTCTGCCAGACCCACGTGAATATCACATGATCACGCGCCGTTGACTTTTTTTTTTTTTTTTTTTTTTTTGGCAAATCTGCAAGTCACCTCGCTTCGTTACAACAAGGGATGGAGGAATGTGTCCGAGTGCGATCCATCCTCACTCTGCCACAGTGTGTATCATGGCACACCGGCGCATAGCCCGAACAACATCGTCTTCTCTCTCTCTTCGCCACTCTACCATTGGCCCCCTCCGTGTTGCACCTACCGTAATTTCCCCTCGACCCAGATCCCCTCCAGGTATGGTAAACTTATGACCAAGCCCGCCTCATCTTCCCCGAGACGCGCATTCGCAGCTCCCATTTTCCTCCCTCCTCATCCTCCTCCTCCCCCTCCTGCGATTGCTGCGGGAAGAGGAAAAACAAATAATTTAACAATTGGAGTGGTATTCAGGGGTTCATCTTCTAGTCCATGGATTTGACCCGATCCTAGCCCTGTTTCCTTGTCTAGCTCCATCCCAACTTGTCCCGATAACCTTGGCGGAACCTTGACTCACCTGACAACTTTTCCACATGATTCCTAGTCCTCAATCCTCTCGGACTCTCTGCGCGGGCTCCTCCGTTTTTCTCACCAATGTCATCTCCTTCCCTCTCACATCGCAATATGGGCTCGATGGCGAAACCAAACCTGAAAGGTCGCCTCAACGGTAGCAACATTAACCCCAATGTTTTGGCTGCCAAGTATGCCGTCCGTGGTGAACTAGCCGTCAAAGCGGAGGAATACCGTGTAAGACTGGAAAATTCTGCGACCAACCAGGTTGCTCAGGATGTCCTTCCATTCGACAAGGTCATCTTCGCCAATATCGGAAACCCCCAACAGTTGGACCAGAAACCCATCACCTTTTTCCGCCAGGTCCTCAGCATTCTCGAATACCCCGCTTTGCTCGACAACGAGGAAGCGTTGAGAACATCCTTTGGCTATAAACAGGATGTGATTGATAGGGCGAAGAAGCTTCTGAAGGCTGTCCAGAGCGTAGGCGCTTACAGCCAGAGCCATGGCGTTCCTGCTGTTCGTGAGAGTGTAGCCAGATTCATCGAACGGCGTGACGGCTTCCCTGCAGACCCGGCCAGAATTTATCTCTCTGCGGGTGCATCATCTGGAGTCAACACATTGCTCCATGTTCTTTGCGCCGGCCCGAAAACGGGCGTTCTCGTTCCTATCCCTCAATACCCGCTCTACACTGCTACCTTGTCGCTGCTGAACGCCCAGTGTGTACCGTACTACCTTGACGAAAGCGACTCGTGGGGCACTGATGTTGAAGGCATCCGCGCAGCGCTTGCGAAGGCCCGTGAAGATGGCATTGAGGTTCGTGCGATCGTGGTTATCAACCCTGGAAATCCCACGGGTGCTAGTCTAAGCCCCGATGCAATCAAGAGTGTGATCGACGTCGCCGTCGAATCTAATCTCGTCATCCTCGCGGATGAAGTATATCAAACAAACGTCTTCAAGGGTGAGTTTACCTCTTTCAAAAAGCGTCTTCGGCAATTACAACAAGTTGCGCCGGCCGAATACGACCATGTCGAACTGGCATCGCTGCATAGCATTTCCAAGGGTATGGTGGGCGAGTGTGGCCATAGAGGTGGTTATTTCGAGCTTGTCGGTTTTCACCCGGATGTGGTGGAGAATATTTATAAATTTATTAGTATCATGCTGTGTGCGCCGGTCACGGGTCAATGTCTCCTGGAGATGATGGTCAACCCGCCCGTTGAAGGCGATCCGAGCTACGAGCTGTATCAGAAGGAATATAATACCATCCGGGATGGGTTGTTTGATCGTGCGCAGGCACTTTATAAAGCTTTCCAGCAGATGGAGGGGGTTGAATGCCAGGAACCTGGGGTAAGTTTCCCCATTGCCATCTATCTACCTCTTATGTTGACCTTCTCCTAAACAACAACAATATTTAATTCTCTTTTCCTGTAGGGCGCTATGTACCTCTTCCCAACCATAAACTTGCCCCCCAAGGCCATCGAAGCCGCCAAAGCTGCCAATCGTGAGCCAGACGAGTTTTACGCCCTCCGCCTCCTGGACGCCACGGGTGTCTGTGTGGTCCCAGGATCTGGCTTCGGTCAAAAGGAAGGCACTTTACATTTCCGCACCACATTCTTGGCACCGGGGACGGCGTGGGCTGATAAAATTGTCAAATTCCATAAGGAATTTATGAATAAATACAGCTGACATATATATACACACTTTTTCTTTTCTTTTCTTTTCTTTTCTTTTTCTTGGGGGGGATTTAAGGTTGCGCATTACCTGGCTCCTCCTTGAAAGTTGAAGCCCTGGTGTGAGGGCTTCAGAATTCCAGTTTTTGAGTTAGACATTCCCCCCTCCGGTGCCATCTGAATGTCTGTTCTCAAATCCATTTTTCATTTTGGATCGTGTATCGTTTTCCAAAATCATAGAGTTCATTTATTTATTTATTTATTGGATATTTTTGTTCATTTTGCATTGTATAAGTAGCGTTCTTTTCATCATCTTTTGCTTTAATTTTTTCTTTCCATAGCGCAACCACTTAACTGCTCGCCTCGGATATGGTATGTTTCAAACAGATATCCACAGTGGTACCTGGACCAAGATTCCAACGCCCACGGTCTTGGAGTAAAAGTCTTGCCTATTTAGTAGATGGGTCCAAGCAAATCAAAAATCTGAAATCACCCATGCGACTGCTGACACGCTATGCGCGGAGAACAAACCTTGGAAGTTTCGAGTTTTGATTCAAATGCAAACGTTGACAAAATGGAGGCGATTGAGCTCTTCCACTTGGTAAAAATTTTCAATTGTGGAGAAGCTCTACCGGTACGAGCTAACTTTCTGCAATAGAGATATAGTGCAGTCCATGAATACTGTATAGCGGCTGGGAGCTACTACCTCCTTATCTAGGGTCGGTCACACGGCCTCTCTGAGATCTGAGAGCATCAGGCCAATAGAGGCTTGGGAAATTGCAGGCAGGAGGGGTTCATAGCTGGATCCGAGATAAGGTTTCCTCGCCACACTCCCCTATTTAATTAAACTCTAAGAACTTGGACGTAGCCTTCAGAGGCAAAATCAATATAGAGCTCTAGGTTGCTCATCGGGCAACGGTTATATCGCCGTGATAGCAATATTTTTGAGACGATTAGCTATAAAAACACGATTAATTTAAAGTTTTTTAAAGTTTTACGCTAGTCAAATAAAGTTGCCCCCCCCTTGTTCATTCACGAGTTGTAGATTGCTAATTATCCTTTTGCCACACCCGAGTGATCAAGCCACATATTTGCAAATGAGCCACTGGGGGGAGTCTGTTATGCTTATTTTCTATAGCTGTAAAGACGCAGGGTTACTTATGAGTTATTGACGATTATGTAGCATTAAGTGAGAGTAGTATCGTTAATCTTGATTCAGTCTACCGTACCCAAACCCCATTTTACCACGTTGTGGATCCCCCGCATTCTATTTGCTCCCGCCGCAACATGCCTCGGCGGATGGCAAACCTCTTTGTTTGGGCAAACCCTCGGATGCCATCCAGGCTGGCTCTCGCCTCGCAGAGCGCGAAGGAGGCCGCTGTGGAACCATGCAGCTGTCTCCAGCCGGTCTTCTGGCCTCCCCGTTCCTTTACCTCTCTGCGTTTAGCAACATACAAATTACATACAAAAGATACCCAAAAGATCAAACCAAAAGCCTTTTTTCAACTCATCGCTGGCTTCATCGAGAACTTCACGGCCGTGGCTGGTCTTTGACTATGTCCGGCGAATACCCCGTCACAAACAACGCTGCTGGCTCAACTGAAGAGAAAAATTTTCAAAAAATCATTGTCCCGACTGTCCCAGATAAGCTTGAAGATACTACAGAAAGCCGCTGGGAGCGCAGTTGGCCGGTGATCGCAGGTGGTGCGGGTCTATTTTCTGACGGGTACCTCAACAATGTGCGTCGATCAACCCATTTCGCACTGTCCAAAAAGCCACTTGCGCAGTAACCAGATCGCTAGAGCGCCAGTGGATGATCCTACTTAGTACCCCTAGCCTAACCTGTAAACCAAAATCTAGATTATCGGCTCAGTCAACACCGTTCTCCGCATCCTCTACCCAGTTGCCTACACCAAATCTGCCGCCGTCAAAAATGTCCCCTCCATCGCCTTCGCCGGCACCGTCGTCGGTCAGCTCCTGTTCGGCGTTATCAGTGACCACTACTCCCGCAAATGGTCCTTGATGGCGTCTACTCTCGTCCTCATCATCTTCGCAGCTCTGTCTGCAGGATCCTACGGCGCTAACGGTAGTGTACCTGGCCTCTTCACTGCGTTAACTATCTATCGCTTCTTCCTTGGCGTGGGGATTGGTGGCGAATATCCCGCTGGCAGCGTTGCAGCGGCTGAGAGCGCGGGGGAACTGAAGAGGGGCCATCGGAACAGATGGTTTATTATGTTCACGAATGTTCAGATCAATCTTGGGTTCGTTCTTGCGGCATTTGTGCCTATGGTTGTGGTATTGGTTTTTACTGAGAACCACTTAAGGACGGCGTGGAGGGTTATGTTGGGTCTTGGGGTCCTTCCGCCCCTGAGTTTGCTCTATTTACGGATGAAGCTTCGGGAGCCCGAGAATTTTAATCGAGAGAGGATGCATAAATATCCTGTCAAACTGATTGCTAGGTACATCTACTTCCCTTCCCCCCTCTTCAATAATCCCACCTTTTTTGCCTGCTCTCTTGTTAACTCAAAACTCACTTACAGGTTCTATTGGTGGCGACTGGTAAGGATATATAGTTACCCTATCTGCGCGGAACGAGTACAATCCTTTAACTACAGATTAAAATTAGTTTATTGTCTCCTTAGCATGGTTCGCATACGACTTTTCCTCCTACGCCTTCGGTATCTACTCGAGCGTCTGGCTTAGGATCGTCCTCTCAGATTCCGCACCCCTCTGGAAATCCTTTGGATGGAACACCGTCATCAATTTTTTCAACCTTCCCGGCGCATGCTTGGGTGCCTTCATCTCCGATTGGATTGGCCCTCGCTACGCACTTTCCATCGGCGTCTTTTTACAGGGTATCGTCGGCTTCATCATGGCAGGATGCTACGAGTTCCTCGCAACGGCGAAAAATGTCGGTGCGTTTGTCGTTCTCTATGGGTAGGTTTCATCAATCACTTGCACAGACCATATAGTCTTTCTGAGACCTGTTTTTTAACCATACTTTTTTTGTTTTAAAAAAACCAGTATCTTCATCTCCCTCGGCGAGATTGGACCAGGCAATAACATCGGCCTCATCGCGGCCATGACCAGTGCCACGGCTGTGCGTGGACAATACTATGGCATCGCGGCCGCGATAGGCAAAATCGGTGCCTTCGTCGGAACATATGCGTTCCCGATTATTCAGGCTCGTGCGCCGAATCCTGTGCGTGCGGGCCAGGACCCGTTCTTTGTCGCGAGCACATTATGTATGATGTCTGCTGTGGGTTGTGCGATTTTTGATCCCTCACATTGGGCAGGTGGGTATAATATGTGGAAAAAAAAAAAAAAAAAAAAAAAAAAGGTATACGTTTTGTATATTACGTAGCTCTGACCCACTGCAACATGTAGGACACAATTGCACTAGAAGACGCACGCTTTCGCCGGTACCTGGAGGAGAATGGATATGATACGAGCAAGATGGGGGTGTCCATGAAACAAAAACTGCAGCAGCTGGAACAGAGTCAGCTGCAGGAGCCGGCGGCCTAAGCTGAGAGCTAGCGCCCATGCCTTGCATTATGGTTTTGTTTCAGACTCGGCTCGCTTTTATCTCCAGAGACTTGGACACTGTCATACCGTGCAGTCGGGCATATTCCTGTTTTACCCGGCTAGCCACCTTGTATGGATTCTATGGTCGCTGATATTCTGTTCCAGATCATACGGCCAGAAGCAGTAATGGTTTAAGTCGCCAGCATGATATTTTGGCAACGCACACTCACACACACATATATATATATGTATATATCCACACGTACTTTGTATGTACTGTACAACAAATAAATCATGCATTCGTTCATGGATGACGCTGGATAGTTGCGCTTAGTTCCCAAAAGTATATATGTTGGCAAACCAGTCCAGTTTGCTAATTGAATTGATCATGAACTATCTCAATGTGAAATCTGCTTCGCCGTTCTATTCGTGGATGATGTAACGGGACTAGATATAGGATAACAGAAAGCAAAAGAAGGAGAAATGAGAAGATTATATGTATAATTGATCAAGCCAAAAATTGGCTACAAAAGGCGGCGTTAGCGGAACCTTGTGGAGATGACAAATATGTTAGGCCACCGGGACAAAAGAGCTCGATCACCACCAGCGCCATGCTGGTAGTAGAGGGGACGAACCAATCCAAACCCTCAACAAAATATGGGTAGAACTGATGAGAAATTCTTGGCATGATCGATAATGGTGGTACAGTCAAATGCAGAAAATATGCGGAGGAGGGAGAAGAACGAATTGAAATACTGATAACGAGGAATAAATATGTTGAGTGATTGGATGGATAAGCGCGACCGGCCAGCCGAAATTCATTTGATTTAATCTCAATAGATCGGTCAAAATGGATAAATGGGATCATACATGGCAGTCAAGAAAGTACCTACAAACCGGTAAATAAAGTGCCGAAGCAGAAGAAGAGTAAAGCATTGTCTTGGAACGTAAAGACACGAGAATGGAGAGTATAGAATGAAAATGAAAATGAAAATGAAACAAATGTTAGAAACTAACAAATAACAATGACCAAAAACCAAGAAGGGAAAAGCGACTGAAAATTAAAAGCGGCAGAAGTTGAACACACTGGTCGAAACTCCTACAACAAACGGAATTGATATAACCACGAGGACCCGGGGTCAACTCGATTTGCAAACTGGATGGTGAACCCATCACACATGCTCCAAAAATGACAGCTGAGACATCACTCACTATATCATGCGGTCTTTCTCCAGGCTGTCCGTACACCAATCAAGGAGCTGACGGTCCCGGCAAGGCCGATAATGCCATCATCCAAGTTTATATAGCCAAGCGATGTGCTGGGGATGGTGAGATCACAGAAGTCCGAAATGAGCTGGGTAAGGACGGCCGTGCGTTCTCTGTACAGTCTATGGTTAGCGAGCGGAGAAACTCACGCAAGGGTAATGTATATATGTTTTTTTTGACAACAACTATGAAGGTGGGGAAACTGACTTTTCAATCATCTTCCCTTCAACCACACTCTCGCCGTCCTTCTTGTTCACAGCCTTTTCCCTCTCCTTCAACATCCACATCGAATACAGCCCGGAAACGGCACTGCACACCAAGCCAGCCATCCACGCCTTCAGCGCGCGAGCCTGTAGCTTCTTCGCATTCGCCATCTTGCGCACCCCGGCAGAATCTAGGTACAATACCATGTCGAGGGAGAGGTAGATGGCGTAGCCGAGCTGGCGGCCGATTCCGAGGTATTTGAGCACGGGATCGGTAGTGGCCGTCGGTGAGCGCGAGTCGAGGAGGACGGCAGCGGCTTTGAAGTGCTCTACATTCTTGCCGAAACGGAGCAGTTTGCGGGTTAGGGCGAATTGCTTCTTGACGGCTTCGAAAGGGGCGATGGAGGCTTGCGGGTAGTTGGTGCGGTAGAGGTACCAAGCGTAGAAACGCGAGAAGTATTGGAGGGTGCGGAGGATTTTATCGCGGCCGACTGGATGCCGTGTTTGGGGTTAGGAGATTAGTAATGTTGTTATTCAGTTTCAGAAGAATTTCGCGAGTAGATGGGTTGCTTGACCAGGGGTTTAGCCGGGGAATAACAGGTCGAGTCAAAAGTGCTCTCCTCGCGGCGCTTTCACCTGGATCATTGCAAGACAACCCCTCATCCCCCCTCCCGGTTTATAGCGCAAAATAGTAGATAAAAAGGTAACAGCGCTCTCAACAGAATTGCAAACATACCTGTAGTAGCAACGAATCTGAGATAATGGGCCACCGTCGGGTGGTGAGCCAGGTCTGTGGCAGCCATATTGGCTGAGAGGGGATAAGAAGGAACGCGAGGGGCACCGGGAGGTATAATGCGGCGATCAGGGTTGACAGACTAGCCTCCGCAGAAACCGAATAATGCACAGAGGAGGTAAATAAAGAAGACGAAGACGAAGAAGAAGAACCTGGTCGATATGATATTTCTGTTGTTCGTCGTCTCGTGCTGTTTTCCCATCGATGTTCGCGGCGGAGATGGAGCGAGCACACGTGACGATAACCTCGGCTATTCCGGCTGCCTAGGCACTTCACATGTGTGCGGTGCGTTGGATATGACGTCACAAGCCTAGATCCGAAATTGTTTATCTTAAATGGATTGCTTCCAAAGGCACTACTGGGGATATATATACGGTATGAGCAGATGAAAAACGGATAGGGAAGGGATCAAACTGTGTATGCTTGTATATACAACGATAGTCGATTTGTTTATTCTATGTCTCGGACAGCTCTATGTTCAACAAAGGCAATGTCAGTGGGAGAAATGAGAAAAGAAAAGAAAGTTTAAAGTTAAGGATATAGCAAAATATATAACGGAAACGTTGAATGGTAAACCAAAACAAAAATGCCGTTCAGTCTTTATCACATATTTGATCACAAAAAAATGATGGCAAGGGTCCACCGGCTATCCACCGGCTACAAGGAGAGGAAGTAACGTAAGAAAATTTATATGCGGTGAAGATACGAGTAAATGAGCAAATGGGGAAAAGTCGTACTAGTGACAAAGGGCATTCGTGTAGATCAGTTGCGTTCCGCATGAAAATGGAAACGATAAATGAAGCAGAAAGGGGTGATGTAGAGAGATATATATGGATATATGCAGAAACTCCTGAGAATCAAACACTGTAACACACTGTGTCATTAAGGTCGTGAGTTCTGTACCGACGATTTAAAATGTTAAGAGAGAGTGTAAGGTTAAACTGGGGGATGGACCTGGGGATGCATATAGACACGTATGGATAGATATCAAGCATGCAAATCAATTGGTCTAAATAATCTGTAAAGAGGTGAATGATAAGATATAGTGTTTTCGTTAAAAAAATAAAAATAAAAATAAAAATAAAAAAGCCGCCCCGGATATTAAAACCACTGGGTGTGTTGTTGAAGAGGGATATCATCTTGGTTTGCAGAAGCGGTGATCGAATAGGTGGCCGGATCCCACATGAAAGTGTTAGGTTCCGTGGACACAAACGCTCCTTCTTGTGAGACCAGCAGGCTATCGTCGCCAGCCGTTGTACTGAAGGTCTGACTATCTGCAGAAGAGTAGTCTTGAGGGACCTGGTAGGAGTTTAACCTCACCCCTGGCGATGTCGCGATTATGTCAAAGGGTTGTGGTGGCTGGCTAAGCGCAGCACCAGCCTTGAGGAAGGCATCGATGTCCACTGACTGGAGGTCGCTCGGCGACAGCATTTGTGACTGAGAGAAATCTACACAAGACGATGGGCTGAGACGGTACATGCCATTCCCTGATCCATCGCTAGCGCTGAGGACGTCAAGTTTGTCAGGGTTGGACATCCCTATTCCAGTGGCAAGGCTGATATCTTCGACCTCTGAGAGTTCTCCCGACGAAGAATGGGTGAGGTTGGAGTGACTGAAATTGCTGTTGTCAAAGCTTGCGTACGAGGGTGGCTGGCTGAATGTAGTGTGGAGGTCGCTGGGGTTGAAGGGCAAACCAAATGTGGACCAGTCCACTGGGGGAACATTGAAATTGGGCGTCTCTGGAAATGCTTCCGTCTCCGGAGAATAGAATTGGTCAAGACTCTGGTCTTGACGATCAAACAAACCTGGAGTTGAATTCGTTGGGTCCAACGGAGCAACGGAAATATCGAGATGGGGAATTCCGTTATTCATATCCTCAATTCCAAGCAAGGGAGCATTGGCGGGTGATCCATGTTCCGACCTTACCAGACGGACTGGGAAAGCTACCTTTGTAATCGAATCCACAGCCAGGGTCCCGTCTTGCTCGATACCAGTTTCGGGTAAGGGAAGATGGTCCGCCGAATGGCGCGCGATGTCTGATGAAGCATGAACAGTATGGGACCTAGGAATTGAGTAAGGGACCCCTCGTTTACATGTGTCGTTGACTCTATTCTTAGTGTGGCGGGTCGGGAAACCGGAAAGCGCGTCATCCGCTTTAGTAGTTGCAAAGTGAGGGCGTTTCTGACCCAGGTTGGAGGATGCTCTGCTGCGAGGGGGGCCCACCTCGGGAACGGTTTCGAGGTTGGAATCTCTTTTGTTGGCACAAGTGCAGCGGGAGCCATGGCCACAGCAGCACTGCTTTCGATTTCCAACTATTGCCAGGTTAGTCAGAAAGAACAGAATGAGGATGTAATTTGAATGCTGACTCACCTTGATTATCGCTTGCCTCCTTCGTCGGACATTCAGCTTTTGTATGGCCTTTCTCGCCACATTCGCACTTGGTGTGAGTTGTGCGCGACTTGCGCAAACCTCGACAGTGAGGGCATTGCGAAACCGGGCGACCTTTCTTATTTATGTGACTCAAGGGCCGATCTATTTGAAGTTGGTTAGTGATTATATTAATGAAGGAGTCCTGTGGTTGCGACGGTATAATTAAGGCATACCTGCATGTTGGCAATTGCTGACACGATGCCCTCGGATACAGGCCTCGCAAGCCCACTTCTCGCCTTTGATCAACATGGTCGGTGTGGGTGTGAGTGTGTATTTTTGTTTTCTTTAAGCGTAATGGTAACAAGAAAGGGCGTTATTTTCCGTCCGTTTCATATATTGGGTGTGTTGGCTTTGGGCGAGAATGGAAAAGTAGGCGGTCTGCCGTGGAAGCAAAGGCACGTCGAACAACCAAACGGGCGGTATGCTCAAGACGCTATAAATCGAATAGCAGCTTCGAAAGATCGCAACTCATGGTGGCGTCCGCTGACAGAGTATATCTTTGGTTGAATTGGCGAGGGAATCTGGGAGATCTGCCATTCAAACGAGAGTGGCACAGGAGAACATGAGTCAAAAAATAAAGTAATGAAGCACAGCAATGGAGTAGCGAGAGAGTAAAATTGAGGTGATAACCGCACACAGATGTCAACAGGATCAGATGGCATTCACCGGGTGGGATATGGAGAGAATAAAGAGGGAAACCGAAGATACAGAGTGGTGATATCCTTAAGATGAGGTTGCAAGCGGGCTGAGGAGGGGAGATTAGAGGTGTGCGATGACAAGAGGCGGTGCCGAGTTGGCCACCGCGGAAAATTTAACTTCCACGACCCGGTTTGCGGGAACCCAAGGTCAGCGGTAAACTAGGGGCGTGTGAACAGGCGGGAGCAAAGTTTGGCCAGGAGTTATATGCACGCACTCCGTTTTCTAGCTTGCCCGCAGCCCTGAGAGCTAGCATACGCACATGAAGGACGAAAAGCAAGTGAAATGACGCGAGAGAGGGGAATGAAAAGAAAATTCAACGTACCGACAAAGAAATTGACAGGCACTCTGACAGCAGGAGTCTTGTGCGTGTTGTGTGCCTTTCAAGCCTACCTTTAACATTGCTCCTCGTTCCTGTGGGCGGCTGCCCAAGTTATATATAACCCATGTTTCGAGCTTCTTGTTGTGATTCTTGATACCAACGAAGGCACAATCCGTCCGTGTGGCCTGTGGTGAAAATGGGAGGCGCCATGTATCTGGTATCTACTAGTAATCGGGGCTAGTATTGGCTTCGTTCTTATGCATGTATCTCGGTTGCGTTTTCTTCAAACCTGTGCTTCCTGCCATGGATTCTATCTCTCCCCGATCGTATGTTTTATGGTTACTTTTTTCCTATTCATCAGTTGGAATTGATACATTTTTAACCGCCTTTACCATAAGTATTCCCACTTTTTCTCCCTCTCTCTTTTGAAGAAGTGGAAGAAGATTTCCTTCTACGGTACCGCACAACTGGTTCAAGCACCAAGGAGCAGCTTGAGTTTACTACCCGTCGCAGATATTTTTATTTTTACTTTCGAACCCCTATCCCGACATGCCTCCGGGTCGACACCAACCCCCAACGGATCCCGCTTCACCGAAGAAATTTTCAAACCAGATTAACCCGCCCCCAATATTCAGATCAAGACATGCATGGTGTGCGCATTTCCAAGGGAGATAAACATGCCAATTGGTACCGACTAGTACCGACTAGTACCAACTCCGCGCTAGACCAAAAGCAACACGTCCCAACACCCTGCCGATCCTTTCCTTGTTCGGACCCTTCCAGAAGGCTTCCATGCGTCTTCCGTTTTCAGCCAACCGCCCTTTCCAGCCTTGCTCGATTCCTCGAATAACTCGGCCGGCGCCAGGGACGAACAAAGCTTAATGGATAGGACCCCGAACACTCCGATGGCGATGTTTCTCGCCAAAACTTCCCATGAATACATGTACTTACTGCTCCCTGTCCGGGCCCGCCCCGTTTCTCTATAGTATACCATAGGCGCGAATCATAAGGATACCTACTAGTATCTATCTAAAACCGGATATACTTTTCTGGCTGCTCCATGGGCATTCCAAAGCAAGCAACGCTGTTATGATTCTAAAATTAAGCAAGATGAATGGTGGATCGTGTTATCCCTCTCCAGCCACTGGTTCATTCAGCCTTGTCATAGCCTTCTCGTCCGTATATCAGTTGATTCTTGACGCCCATATTTTGAGCTGCAGGGCCGATATGGACTATGAGCCTATCAGTGCTTCATCTATCATTGCCTCGCTTTACTTTCCTGACCCACATGTTTCTTCCATTTAGGGCATTTACTCGCTCCTCCCTGGAAGATTTCAAGTTCCTCTCTCGACCCCAGTGGGTTCGTTCTGGGATGTTCTGCACGCCAGAACGAACAAAATGCCAAGGGCAATATAAAAGAAAAGGGCGAAATCTCTTTTTCTTTTCTTTTCTTTTCTTTTCTTTCTTTCTTTTAACTTTCTTTTTCTTCTTTTTCCTTTTTGTTCGATGAAGTCCCAGTCCAGGTGTATCAGCCATCAAAAGCCTTGGAAACGCTCCCTCGCTCACTGATTGGACTATCCCCCCCTTCTAGAAGCCTTCTAGTCCCGTTTTTAGTTTCGGAAGATACACACTTATAAGGTTTGTGGCTTGACTGACAGGGACTGTGTTATTTTTATTTTTACTTTTTATCTTCCATTCATTTTTTTGTCTTTTTATTCTTCTTTTCGCCCCGACCCCAGCGCCTGTGTGTATTTGGAATTTTTCTGGGGCCTTGCACTGCCAGAGCTGTTGCTATGTGATTGATACCAACCATGTTCTTCAAATGGTTAGTGAGGGTGGAGAATGTGGAGAGGGTGGCGAGAGACGAGGGTGTTCGGGAGATGTTATCCTAGGTCAGGTTGGTATATTGATATACAATCGCGATATCCTGGCTATGGGCATGGGGTTAAGGGAAGTGAACGACTGATTCCCCACTAGAGCTATCTTCCCCCTCCACCTTTCCCCCTCCCTCTTCCACTAAGTGTCTGATATTCGTATTCCACGACAGGTAATCAATACCATTCCGAAATTACAGCTAGGGCATGTCTTCTCGCTCTTTAACTGAATTACAGTACGCACACGTCTTTCAGCACTATCATCCACTTTGTGGCCCCCGAGCGAGCATTTTCATAGAATTACGCGATAGTCGAAATTCGACGATCCAACTGATGACAAATACTCCCCCCTCTACGCTCACGGCGGATTCCAGAGATGTTAGAAGCAGTCAGCCACCCATCTCCACTCCACAGACAAAATAGATAGGATCAAGGAACAGAAGCAAGGCTGGATTCGCATCATATTCCTATTAAACTTAATTCCTCTCAATATGTCCTGTTTACCTGTTTACTTTCTTCATTGTGGATCTCTTATTATTTTTGTTTACAATCCACCGGGCTGTGATCCAAACAGTATACATTAAACACGGGGATCGACCGCCAACAGCTACAAGTTGCTGATCCTTAGATGGCCTGTAATGGGCTTATAGAATGCAAGTTGCTTTGGGGCTTAAATCCCACACCTAGTGCTGGTTTTCCCATCTCCCTGGTGTGCTATGTAAAGGCATCTGGCGATTACCGAAGGATGCGACGAAGTAGGCGGAGACTGCATACACCACCTCGTTCTCGTTCTACTTCATCGCCATCTTCGGACTGCTTGTCGCAACAGAATGGTTTTTCCTGAGCTTCTGCCTTTGTCGGTTGTTTCAGGATGGTGATATCTGGGCAGGGATGGGAGTATCTACCTACTTCATGCTCAGAGAACGTCAAGTTACTATTATTCGGGCTTGTTTATCTTTTGGTCTTGGTTATTTTGTTACTGGCTGGAAATATGTCATTATTGAGATCTTCACAGTGTCTCACATTATTTATATCTGGCCTCATATATCATTCCAAATGTATAAGGCTGCCGACTCATTCGCACAAACTCAAGTTCCGGATGTAATTCAACCCTGTTTTTATCAGATGCTCAAGAATGGATGTGAATAATTAATAATTGCGTGCTCGCAGAGTCACTTCTCATAAACTAGATTAGATGATAACCTTATCGCCGAAGGAACGGATCCATAACAAGCCCCACAGCTTTATTCTTGGTGTCAGTGGTGGGGAACAACCCAGTTGATCGTTCCCCTGCCCACAGCCTTTCGTCGGCCGGATTTGCCAACCACATAAACTGACAATAAACCCCTCCCGACTGCGTAAAACGCCACATAAAACCGCCCTGATACCAAAGCCGCGCCAGACGTGACTTGTAAGGGCACAAAGGATTTGCGTTGGCGCTAGAAAATCCATCGAACCTTCTACGCACCCCCCGAGGTTTGAGGCTTGCGGACCGGCTAGCTGGCGCAGGTAACTACTAACCAACCCGCTGAGGAGAACTGATTTCCGAAGGTCCTTGACTCCTCGCAGGGGAGCAAATCTCTATCATCGGTCACGGGTTCCAGGAAGTTCCTGGATCCAGACATGATACTTGGCCTCTGTTAGTGTGCTTCCAGGCCGGACTCGACGTAGCCTGTGGAGGAGTGGATTTTTTGCAGGTTTTGAGCGGGGCGGCAGGCCCTGCATGTTGCTTGCTCGGGCCAAGGTGATGCGATGCATTGGGTTTTTTCTTTTCTTTTCTCTTCTTTTTTATTTTTTTGTTGTTGTTTCGTATTTCATTCCCACCCAATACTCATCCGAGTCCCAGCCACCTCCCCCTGGCGCCGCGGTCTTGCTGCATTACGAACGCCTGTTTGTTTTTACATGCACGGTTGCGTTCGTTGGAAAAAGGCTTCTTCCCACTCCTTATTCCAATCCATCTTCGCTCGTCTTCCCAGCTTGCGCTGGTTCTGTCCACATTAAGCGCTTTAAGTAAGGCTAGTTCTACCGAAATGTACTTACAAGACGTGACCAGGTGATCAGTTTCGTCGGGAAATCTGAGTAGGTCGAACGTGTCAGAGGCTTACCTTTTTTTTTTTTTCGATCAATTTAGGCTTTTTCGTCGGGGAATCAAGTAAAGTCCTATGTAAACAGCATCGTGCATCATGCATCGTGATTTTTGCCCTGGTTGTGTGACCCTGTTCGTCCGAAAGAGCATGGGGGTATCAGTCCCTGGATATTGCTTGACGGGTCTATAAATAACTTCGCTTTCTCAATTGGAATTAAAACACGATTACGCCTCGGGTTAGATAATTTATATTCGATCGTAAACACCACTGTCCCTTGTTCGAAAAGTGTATGAATACGGCATGCAAGGATTGTAACTGACTGAAGTGATCTTTGAACTTCTCATGCATACTTCTGGATTCTCACTTGGTTGATGAAGTTCGTGCTACGGTACGTGTTTCGCATCTTAAAATGTATCCATATCCATATTTACTTCCGTCTTGATTCTTGTCACGATGACTGCCACGGTTTTACTCAATAGAAGACTTGAAGCCCTTTTATCCACCCAAAGCAGCAAATCCCCGGAATATGGTTTCAAATTGGGATGTCATGCCTGCACAGGTAGATAGCAAGCATCTGCGACAGGTAGCTGCCCTTGATAGCATCCCAGGATTTTGGACATGCTACGGGTTACCCGGAAGTGGTAGCGTCTTATATCGAGTAACGGGTTTGGAGGAGATCATGGCAGACCTTGAAACGGCGACACATCGATCAAGACAAAAATGGATCCGCGGTCTCTTTCGTGGGATTTGTATGTCCTTCTATTTTGGTGACGAGGCGAGGAACCCGACTGTTGCTTCTTTTCATTATTCCTGCCCAGCCCCACATCCCTATGTCGTACTGCATACATAGACAAGGTGGAACTTATAGCTTCTGCAGACCCTGGTTTGAGCATGGCATCGATGAATTTGCAGCATATACTTATCTGGGATAGAGATTGTGTCTCATTGGGTTCGTTCTATTCTTATCTAAATTTATCTCATTGACGAGCGGGGTTCTGGAGAGTTGGGGCAAGGTGAGCACACAAACAACGTTGATCGTGAGAGAAAAGGTCGATTTCTTCCGGTCCGTTAAGGTTTTTGTGATCGGGGTTTGTGTGCATCTACCAGCTGCTTCAGTTATTCCCAAAAGGCCGGGATGGCTTCTTAGACTGGTGAAGGGACGGGGGCGAGGAGTTTGGCCCCCGTTTTGTGAATAGCGTGAGGTGTTCATGTGCGTATATCCGTTTCCGGCTCAATGCCTGTTGATTTTTTCCAATTCTTTTTTAAATCCGTTTGAAAGCTGGGTTCCGCGATCGGTAGAAGGATTGAAGTTCCTCATCTGAAGAGCATTAAAAGAGAAAGATTTCCATGGAAATACTAGTATGCATTTGAAACGTGATTCAACCTGCACGGCATGTAGTGGGACATGATTCCATTCATCGTCAAGGAAATCTAAGGGCTCTAATTGATTGTTAGATAACAAATGAAGATACGATTAATCGGTTGATGATAGTGATGATCTGGTGTTGAAAAGAGCACACGCACAGGAAATGTTCCCTTTAGCAGAGTAGAAAAGCTGTCTGTTTGATATATGGCTTGAGAAGCCTCAAGACACAGCGATGAGAGAAATTTCCATTTAACTAGCTTATTCATTTGATCTCCCTTGGACCGATCTCACGTTCAGCGCTGGCATCTAAAATGCACCTACACCCATGCATAATACACCATCTGTTGGAACCAATGAAGTCCGAATATTGCCCCAAATACTGAATATTGATAATATTAATTGACTTGCTTATTATAACTCCACTAATTACATGAAAAGTAGGCAGTATTTATAGAAAAGATCATGCTTAGATATACACAAGAGATAGTTCTGAGCATTGTTAAGTTTTATCTGGTAGGACATTTATGCTGTTGCTTGAATCTTCTCAAATCCTTGATAGTAGAACTTACCAAGTTCTCAATATACCCCCTTCAGCTGAATACTGTCAGTAATGAAGCTGGAGAAATTGTCAGAATAGAAAATAATATAGAGAATATAATGATTAGCAAGTTGAAAAGAAATAGATAAAGAAGATGTATGAGAATGTTGAATTCCTCTTGTTCAAAATTGTTGTATTTATATATTTTATTTTGATATATCATTGATAAAATCAGTTATATCAACTAATTCTAGTTGCTTGATGAATTCTTATTGCTTCTGTTGTGATAATAACTTGATTAACTCATTTACTGACATACTGCTTGTAGATATTCATTATACTGAGATATCTTTAAATTGTATTCATTCTTGCAATCAATTGCTGTATATATTAACATGATATAATTTGATTGTGATAGATGAATCTTTCTTAGTAAGAATGTCAACTGTTTATTAATTATTATATTTGATGAAGATTTTATAATCAGAATTAAATTCTAGATGATTAAAAAATCTTTTTCATCAAATTATCTTCTTATCTATCTGTGATATAGCTAGTAGTTCAGCTTCAGTGATGAAAGTTATTATTATTCTCTATCTCTTTAACTTTCAATCAACAGATCTCTTAAAAAGCTTGAAGATATAATCTTTTGTTGATTTTTTATTTAAATTATCTGTGAAAGAGATATCACTAACTGCTTCAACCACATTCATTGATAAGTCATTATTATCAGATACACTATATTCAATTGCTAGATTCTTTGAATCTTATAGATAAATAATAACACAATCAATCTCTGCAGAATGATGTTCAGAAGAATTAATTATATAGATTATAAATTTATCAACTGTGTATACAATATCTGATTTAGTCATCACAGCAGTATAGATACAGAATTCAATCTGATATTAATAGTAGTGAATATTCTCAGATAATACAGTTTCTTGATAAGATGCTAGTGAAATACTAGATAGAGATGTTGATATTTTATAAATATAAATAAGATAATAAATATCAACTAGCTTATTAATATAGATATCTTGACAGAGCCACAACTTTTTAGAGCTTCAATCTCTAGTAATTCTTATATTAAAAAATCATTCAAGGTTTTCCATCTGTTGAAATTTATATATATTCTTAAGATCTTTAATTAACTGATTCTTTTTCTCTCTGTCATCAGAGTGAAAAACCACAACAGTATCATCAATATAAAAGAAGATGATTATTCATTCATTGATAAATAAACACTTATTCTCAGAGATTAAAGTGAAGTCTAATTGTCTAAGAGTAGTAGATAATTCTTTAAGCTATAAAAGAAGTGATCTTCTTAGACTATATAAAATATATATTAGATATAGAATGTAGGCATTCTTTTTAAGATTTCATATTTCTTTCAACTTTCATCAATTATCTAATAATTCAATATAAACTAGCTCATCAAGTGAACTGTTTATAAAGATATTGATATTATTCAACTGCTTAATATTAAAATCAAAAGCACTGATAATAACAAGCAAAATACAGAAGATTTTCACAGCTAAGATATAAGTTTTAATATTTAATTCAGATATTAATTGTAGATTATCTCAGATATAAATATAAGCTTTGAATTTAATAAGATAACTATCATCATCAAATTTATAGATGAATATTCAATATAATAAAATCACTGAAATATTTTTCAAAGATTTATTAATAATTTTATAGATGTTTTACTGAGTTATAGAGTTTCATTTCTGTTTGACTGCATTAATTCACTCATTGTGATAGAGGTGTTTATTGATATCATTTCAATGTTGAGATGAATCAGATAATTGAGATCAATGAACTTTAGAAGGTTCTGATTTAGATAGAGGTTTTATAAAGACAGTATTAATCATTCAATCTGAGTTATTCTTTGTAAGAGATACTGCTATATAATGAGTTGCCTTGTATATTCTCTTGCTCTCAATTATATTGAACTCACTAATCTCATTTACTCTAGATATCTGATTGCTTGATAATATCAAATAAGTATCAATAAAAAGATCAGATTCAATAGAATCACTAGAATTAGATTCAGAGATTGAATCTGATATAGATAAGATATCTGTCATAAGTTGCACTCTCAGTATTTTATTGATATCTTTGTTATCTTTATTATCATTCTCTGTACACAGTGCAATCTCATCAGAGTGAAAAATATTAATATCTGAGTATAGATTATTCTCTTGATGAAAAGTGTCAACCACTGACTTCTTGATCTTAATATTCAAGAACTCAATCTCTTGAGTAATTCAATCTCACAGCTGTTTTTCAATATGAGATTTGTTTGAATTATATTGTTTATTCTCATTAAATATAACATTTCTTGCTCTTATCACTCTGTCTAGATGAGAAATTTAAATTCTAAAGATATTTGTAGAATTATAATTTATAAAATATTCAATATAAACTCTGAAATCAAACTTCTGTGATTGATTTCAATTGAGGATTTTATTAAGAATCTTTGTATACACTCAATATTTATAAATATATAAATAAGTATATAAATACTGTTTGATATGAAGATATTTTTCTAATATTCAAAGAAATGATTTCTATTCTAGTATTTTAATAGAGATTCTATTCAGCAAGTAAATAACTGCTATTACTATTTCAGAGAATAATAATTAAAACAGTAAGAATTCTATTCTAAGAGTTCTTACTTTAGTAATTATAATAGCATCTGCACATTCAGCAGCACTGTTCTATTTATAAATATATTTCAAAAAATATTCAATTTTCAGATCTAGTTCAGTTACTCAGTTTTTAAAGATATCAGATTCTTTGATTTCTTTCTCATTATCAATTTATATAATCTTTATTTCACAATTAAATTGATATTTAATTCATCTTAAAACTTTGTTGAAAGCCTTTCTTATATCAGACTTTCTCAAGACTGTTACTGTGATATGAAATCAAAGATAATCATATATAAAATATATGAGTCATCTTTCTTCATTGTAGTAATAGATAGATCTCTGTATAATATCTGCATGGAGTTGTTCAAAAAGTAGTTTAGATTATATATAAAAATGACAAGATATTTAATTCTTTGCTTTGATAAGATGATAAGATTCACAGAGTTCTTTGTCTTCAGTATCATCAATCTTCACAATATATTTGATATTAGATATCTGAACTTCTTTGATATCAATTAATAGATGCTTCACTGCTCTCATCAAAAAATGTTCTAGATATTAATACTAAATTTTAGAGAAAGCAGTAGAACTCTTTGAAGTGTATGAAATAGCTGTGTGAAATATCTTCACAGATTCTGCTAGATTACTAGTTGAAGTAATATTAATAAATATTAAAATATTCTCACTAGTTCTGTGATATTTAGTAATCAGTAATTTATTATACATCTTTATATAAGCAAAAATTGAGTCATCTTTAATTCTTTACAATCTGAATATTTTGTCATTAAAATAAATCTTCTCTATATAATAGCAAGGTTTTCAGATGATTAGATTAGTATAAAAGTGCAGAATATAGATAGTATTCTTAAGAATCACTCTAAACTGCTTGTTTAGAGCATCAATTATATAAGTTTAAATTATACTATATTTTATAATTTTTGTTATTGAATCTTCAGTGTAAATTTACTCTTCTGACAGTTTATATATTAGAAATCTAGATTAATTATTACAGATATATTACTCAGCATCAGTATTGAATATTCAGAAATCTTGAAGATAGAGACATTGATTTAAAGAAATACTCTCAATATTTACATTTAGATATTATATCAATTAATTGATAGATATAATTTTAAAAGTAATTGAAGATTGATCAGTAGAATAATCAATAGAATAATCAATAAAATAATTGATAGATTCTTCATCTTTCTTTTAAAAAATTATTTTTCTCAGTATCAGTTCTATCATCTCAGTATTAGAAGTAGCTATTTTGATTATTATTA